TGTTGTAATAGACAGTGGCTCTAGAGTGAATGTCTGCATAACAGCGGAACAGTAAACAGCGGAATCAGTGCACAGCATGATTGCATGCATGCCCAGAGCTTGCTCTTACGTCCCTGGGTGGTCACTTTGTACGCTGGCCCTCTGTGTCCCCTTCTCTGCCAAGTTCCCAGGGCCACTGCTGCTTTCTTGTGCCTTCTTTCATCTGGGTTTTCTCTTTCTTGACCCCCATCATTAAAATTACTCCCTGGGGAGTTTCTCTAGTGAAGAAGTTTTAACTCCTCCTGGTCACAGTTAACTAGCCAGAAGACTTACCTATCACTTATACTATTTTCTTTCTGTCTATAGAACTGCCCCTGCAGTTACAACCCTAGACTTTTTTTTTTTGTCTTTTACCATGCAGTTCAGGTTGGCTTTGAACTCACTTTGTAGCCCAGGCTGGCCTTAGACTTGCAGTGATCTTCCTGCCTCAGCCTCCTGAGTGCTGAGATCATAGGCGTGTGCTACCACGTCTGGTTTTTACTCCTAGAAACTTTTTTTTTTTTAAATGTATTTGGTACAAGATCTCACTGTGCAGCTCAGACTCATAGTGATCCTCCTGTCTTTAGCCTCTCCAGCACTGGGATTACAGGTGTATGCCACCATACCTGGTCTTGGTGGCCGGCTCAGGGTGCCCAGGGGCTGGTGCAGCATGTGGTGCAGGGATCAATTTTAATTTGTGTGCAGTTGCTAAGCATTGATTTTTGTTTTTCATGCAAGGCGGCACAACCAATAAAGGGTCCTAAAAGAAGTTGAGACACTCTAGCACAGTAGGGTAACTGTGGTCAGCAGTATTTACTTGCATGTTTCATGGTAGCTAGGACAGACAACTTGAAACTTCCTAGCATACACACAAAAAGATGGCTTGAGGTGTTGGGTTTCCCTGACCTGATCATTACACATTGTATACCTATATTGAAGTCTACCGTATCCTATAAATATATGTAGTTGTTTTATGTCAAAAAAATAAAAAAGAATTAGATGCTGGAAAGGATGGCTAAAAACCAGAGGTAGAGAGCTAGCACTACACACACTCTGAGTGGAGCATGCCATGGACAGTAACTTTAATGGGGTCACGAACAGCTTTGTGAGGTGCTGAGGGGGGCATAGTGGTGCCTACGATGGGCCTTGAATGGGAAGGAAGTGCTTTGGAGAAGCAGAAGTGGTAAGAAGCGAGCAGGTGGAAGGAGAGCCACGGGTGCGCAAGCTGAAGCGAGGGGCTGCAGACCGAGGGAACGATGGAAGCCCACTCCTCATGCCTTCCGGTGCTTCTGGCAACCACGGAAGGCAGGGTGGGGACGTTCAAGGGAAGCCTGCCAGGTTAGTAAAGGTATTTCTAGGCGTCTTTATTTTTATTCTCCTTTTACAGCAAGCTTTCAGCACCCAAGCGTTTTCAGTTCCTCTCAATTTTCCAGTTCTAGCTCTGCAGTCTCCCCGGGGGAAGCCTCCACCGCATGTGGCGGCTGGGCCCTTGGGGTGTGGCTGGTTCAAACTGAGGTGTGCTCAGTTAGTGGCTTTTGGAGAGTACAAAGAAGGCTACTCATTCATTTTTATCCTGGGTGCACACTAAAATTATACTTTATATTGAGTTAAGCATAATTAAAACTCCAACTGCTTTTTTACCATTTTGATGTAACTACTAGAAAATTTAAAGTAACATTACTGTCTGTGGCTTGTGCCCTGTTTTTGTTGGGTATAGCTATTCCAAGGGTCCCTGTTATCTTTCAGCTGTGTCATCCATCCTGGGGTTTCCTGAGTCACGATGGCTTGTGCAGCAGGAAGGCGCCTGGTCACTCAGATGCGGTAGGGCCTGTTCTGCGCCCACGGGCAGATCACGCGTTGCTCTGGGATCCAGACTTTTCATCTGCATGTTGGAGACATTGTATTTGATATTTTCCACAGTCCCTTTCCATTTAAAAATTCTACACATTTATCTTGGAGTTCAATGCTCAGTGTAAACTATTTTTAACTTTTTCTGTGTTTCCTCCAAGGCCTCTGTGACTCCATTTGCCAGGTATCAGAGAAAGTCAAGACATTTCCTTGGCTCTCTGGAGTAGTAACTTCTGGAGCGGGAAGCCTTTAGAGCTCTGGCACATTGAAGCAACCTTCTCCCGCTCCTTTCCACTCCTGTTGTTGGCTCCTGAGTGTGAGCACCTTAGCCCCGTGGCAAAGGTTCCCGCTAAAATGATCTGAGTATCACTTCTTGACAGAGGCGCAGTTCTTTGGCTCGTGGCTATCAGAAGTACTTCTAGCTACCATAGGTACTGGGGGATTTCTGCGATTCTCCTCAGATCCTGACTGGATCCACAAAACATGGGAATCTGTCCTTTCCTTTCTGACCCTACTGATAGAACAAACTGGCCATTATCCTTTTCCCAATGGCTTGCAAATATCCCTCCTCAGGCAGTCCTTCCTCCTGCGCACTGCCCGCTGTCTGTCTACCCCGAAGTCAAGGAAGGGTATCAGATGGTGGTGGCTGGCTCCCAGGACTCGAGCTCTTAGGCTTCGTCTTTAGCAAGAGGGAAGGCAGCTGAGCAACAGCACGGGGCTTGGAATCTAGAAGGGGCAGTCAGACGGGGCAAAGAGACGACCACAGAGCACACTCAGGCACTGAGACACTTCTGGATAGGAATTATTGATATTTCAAAGTAAGACAAGAGGGCCGGCAAGATAGCTCAGTGGTCTTAAGCACCTGTCTAGGCAAACAGGGACTGCAGTTTGGTTCCTGGTGCTACATGCCACGCCAGCCCCGTCCCCAGGGCGGGCTGAACCTGCCACACTCACAAAAAGTGCCACACTCACAAAAGTAAGACAAGATTTCAGTTAATGCAATTAAGTTGAATAGAGTCTCCTATTAAACTGTCCCCATAGTTCCACTTACTGGAACTTCCGTGTCTGGATGGAAACTGCTGCTGTATTGAGACCCATTCTCATGACACTGACCACAGTACAGTGCTTTGCTGTTAAATTTATTCTTCTGTTGGAATGAACTCTTATAGTGTGTTACATTTTTATGAACAGCTAGTAATACAGAAAATACACAAAGGCAAAATTTTACCAGTTTGGAAAAGCAATGGCAGCGAGATGGAGAATGTCTACTTTTGTTGAGACTGTTTTATTGCAAATGCCTGACTTTGAGCTGTCCTTAATAAAATCTTGGCTTTTCTCTCAGAGTGTGGGGTATCAGATCCACACACAGAAACACTTATTAGACAGTGCCGCTTGTTTTTTGATTTGAGGTTTGTGGGATCCTAAAAGGACAGGGTACTAACTGACCCAGATTGGAATTCCAGGTAATTGGGCTGGTTATGAACACAGAAGTGGTGATAGTATCTAACATTTATCTACGGTGGTTATTTTGTTCCCTGTGCAAACACCAACTTGTCTCTAGAGTTAATAGAAGATATTTTAAAGCGCTCATGCACCGAGTAAGAGAATAAAGTATAAATACAAAGTAACCTTTGCACATTACATGCAAGCAGTGTATGCTCTGAGAAGAAAAAACCAGCACGTTTACTGATTCTGTTTAACACTGGGAAGTTTAGGTATTCATGTAATAAGGACAGCATATATTTGGAAGATTGTCTTTTAAATATTAGCTAACCTCCCTTGCCCTGTTTGCTTTCTATGGTTCCAGTAATCCTTAGTAAACTGCAGTCCCAAAATGGTAAATATTAGAAATAAACAATTTATGAGTTGAACACTGAACAGCACTCTGGGAGATGAGAAAGTGGGCGTGGATCCCATCCATGCGCGCACGCCATCCCCGCGCGTGCGGGCCTCCCCTTCAGCCTGCCGTCAGATCCCCTGTGGGTTTGCGGTATTTGTGCCCAAGTAGCCCTTCTTCTTCCTTAATTACAGCCTCAGAGGACCTGCCTTAAGTGACACGGTGAAAGTTCTTTTAGGGAAAGCAGTCATATGCTGAGGCCGCTAAGGTCTATGCTAAGTAATTGTTAATCTCTTGCTGCGCCTAGTTTATAAAATAGTATGTATATTGGGCTCAATGCCATTTATGGCTTCAGGCAACCTCTGGGAAAATATCCCCCACAGAGATGGGGGATAACGCGCCTAAAGTGTTTACCGTGAATCAATTTGTGGTTCATGGTATCGCAGAATGCGAGGAACTAGGAGTCTAGTAGTGAACAAGAAAGGGTCTCGAGCTTGCCTGGTGGGGCAGACCGTCAGCAGCACGGCGGCACCGGTGAGGAGCGGCGCACACCCGAGACACACAGGAGACGCTGTGGTGTGTACACGTGGGCGGAAGGGCCGGGATGGAGCCCGCCGTGGTGTGTGTCTGGGGATGAGATCATCAGGTGAACCCTACGGGCACGAGGACTGAGGTGAGACCTGGAGAACGGCGTTTAGTGGACTCCAAACTGAGGAGGCTCTGCTTTGTGCAAAGAGGGCCACTTGCATGCAGTGTGTTCTGAACTGAGCCACAGCCAACCGCCTAGAGAATGTCCCAGCGTGGCCAAGGAGCAGAGCCTTGGGAGACCCTGCTAGCTCTGCCGGGGGTCGGCTGGCTGGTGGGGAGGCTTTAGGAAATAGCCTGGGACTAGGAGTGTGGGCGTGGTGTGGGCCATCGCCTGTTGGAGTGCCGAAGTGCATTCACATGAATAGCGCGGCACGGGTAACAGCAGGGCTCGCCCAGGCTCGTGTGACGTTAGGGTCCAAGGCGCGCTGGTTTGCCAGGGGCCTGCTTTAAGTTCTAGCCACCCCCCATAGTTCAGCAGAGCAGAGGTAGGGTTGAGTTATGTGCCTTGGTACTGGGAACTGAGCTCAAGACCGTGTATTGTCAGGCAGTTGCTGTATGCCTGTGCTACATCCCCAGCCCCAGATGTGTTTTTAAAAAATGTTGACAGCTTGCAGTTTCATAGTCTGGGTCACGTTTGGAGTAGGTGACCTTATCAAACCGAATGTGTTCCTTTTAAGGTAACCAATCAAACTCCATCTGTCTTTTCCAGGCGGCACCACTGTCCACATATTCCTACTAAGATTTATGATAAGACAGAGAAACCATGTCTTCTCTCCGAGTACACCGAGAACTACCCTGTCTACAACTCGTACCTGCGCAGGGAGTCCTTCAAGCCCAGGCTGGAGTACCAGCGAGGCTCCATACCGATGGAAGGCCTGACCACGTCCAGGTGAGGCGCGCCGGGGCAGTGCCTGCGTGCGCAGCGCGGGGCAGTGAGCACAGGCCTGGCACGTGTGTTGAGGTCGTGCTGTGCAGGACTGACGCACTCATATACAGTATCAACGCCTTAATGCTAACGTCCTATGTCCTTGAACGGAAACCTTGAATTTAATAGCCTGCTTAGTTGTTCCCAAACACCCTCTTAAAGGAAAAGGATTTTTGCTTGCCAAGGTAGGGGTCAGGGAAAATGTAAATGGGTCTGTACAATAGAGGACGGGCAATGAAGTGAAGCAGGGAAGAGAGGAATGAGAGGAGGCTGCTGCTGGCCGCGAGATGCTCTGGGCTCTGCGAGGGCCTCAGGCCAGCTGAGGTGATAACGACGGTGAAAGAGAAGCGGTGAAGGAGCGAGCATCTTAAGCCACACAGGGATTCTCCCCTGTGGTGTAGGATTGAATGCAGGGCCTTCACACTGAGCTACATTCCCAGCCATTTAAAAAATGGGAGACAGTCTAAGTCACCGGGTTGCCGAGGATAGGCTTGGCCTATGCTGTGGATTTTCAACTGAAGTTCTCTAGAATGTTCAAAAAATATAATAGCTGGGTCTGGTGGTACACAGCTGCAACCCCAGTACTCAGGAACGTGAGGATTGTATGCATTTGAGGCCAGCCTGAACTTCAGAGTGAGAGCCTGTCTCAAAAAAAAAGAAAAAAATATTATATATATGATAAAAGAATATATTTCCTTTTTAAAATTTTTTCATTTTAAAGAGTAAAAATAAAAGCAATAGCAAAAAAATAAATAGCAAAAGCAAAGACAGAAGCAGATAACATATAATAATACATATGGTACAGATTTTCAAAGCAAGAATAGTAAATTAACAGTGGTTGTGATATTACGTATTTTTATCGTCAGATCCGTTACTCAGATGAACAGATATAGGTATGCAAGGTTGGACAAAAAACTGAACATCAGTGTTTGTTTTCAATAAACCTTAATTTATTTTCTTGTCCTTTTTACTTTTTATTTCTTAAATTTATTTCAAAGACAGTATAATCACAATTGATAAGACATTAGGAATGGCGCCCACTTAGCAGAACGAGATGAGAGGTACTCAGCTGTGGTGTTTGTATTGCCCATCGCTGTCTTCACGGTAGCTGCTCCGATTACAGACGTTAGCATATGGAGTCAGTCAAAGTGAAATTTTTAAGCTAACCGCTATTTTCAAAGAAGTGATGGAATTAGTGGTACTGTCACCTCAGCCATCCTGTGCATACACTTGCAAGGTTTCCTCCATATATTTCCTTTTAAGCTCCACTTCACTTCCTAAGACTGTTTGGATCTAGGTTTATGCAGATGGTGAGCCACATGGCGGGCACATCTGTACTGAGGCGGTGGGAAAAACTGCTCAGGTAGAGTGTATCAGTCAGGGCTCCCTAGGGGATAGATTTGATATGAAAATACACACGATAGACTGCAAGATTTGCAAGGCAGATTACAGCAGCCACCTACAGAGCTGGGGCGGAAGAAGGCCAAGGGGCTGCCTGGGCATGGCAGAGCAGGGGACCCAGTCAGAAGTCATGGGCGGGGCCTCCCTGCAGAAACTGGTGAGGGTCCATGTCAGGTAACCAAAGAAGGGCTCCACTGGGGCTGAAGGTTTGTGCTCGGAGCCTGGAGGCAGATGTCTAAAGGTGGTGGTGAAGGCTGAAGTTCCTCTGGAGAAGTGAAGATGGCAGCCTTCTCTTGCTCCTTTTCCTTTTTATTTCATCTAGGTTACAAGACTATTGGTTGGTATCACCCACGCCCAGGGTGGGTCTTGCTATTTAGTAAGTCAGTTGCCCCAACACAGCCAGCATTGTGTTAAACCAACCTGCCAGGCATTTCTTACTCAGCGTGACGCTACAGTTGACCGTCACATGGGTTCTGTGTGCTGCAAGACTCTAGCACAGTGGCTGAGGACCTAAGGCACACGCCTCGCAGCAGGCACATGGGCCTCTGGTGTTAGCACGGGAGCCAATCACTCCAGCGGCTAAACATTGGGTAACAGTTGTTTTTTTCTCTAAACTAGTGCCTCAGTATTCAAGTTTAATTTCAGGGTTGGCACTTTGCAATGAATAAGTGGGTTTTGAGTTGCAGTTTGGGCACTTGGTCTCTAACATACTCATTATTGCTGCTTTGGCAGAATCTGTCACTGACCAATTCTATTAGTGACCTCTGGCAAGGGACTCCTGGCTGGCGATCCAGGAGAACAGAGATCTCTGAGTGCACTTGGGCAGGTCTCCACGTGAGACCTGGTGCGTGGAGGTTGAGATTGTGAATGGGACATGTTTCTGTCTGTGCAGAGCTGCATCGTCTAGGTCCATAGGAAGCCCATTCTCATTAGGGGGCCCAGAGCCAAGAAGAGCAGACATGAAGTCAGTGGACCAGTAAGCCTGGGGTGACGTTGAATCAGAGGCAGCTCAAGAATGCGCGGTGGCCGGGGGCCTTGCCTGGTGCTGAGCCTGAGTCAGGCCACTTTTATACTAAGCACTGAGCTTAGATAATGTTGTAATATGCAACTGCTCTTTCAAACTGTGACATTAAATAATGTGAACCTTGCAGTCTGGACTTCGTTTGAGCAAAAAAAATAGTGTCTCCAAGCATCAGATGGCCATGATAAAGGACAGTGTAGCAGCAGGTCGTGTCCCCTCGAGTAAGAAGCACCAACTACACTGGGTCAGCATAGTCCTGAGTGTGGCTGAGGGACTTACTGAGGACAGCGGGGCCACCCAGGGTGGCTTGTTGCCTGCGTGGTACACAGGGGAGGTGGAGAAGGGGGGCTGCTTCTGCGCCTTCACCCGGGCACCGTCTCCTGCGCAGCCCCCGTGGCCTCCTGATGCGGCCTCACAGAGGCTGCGCTGAGCTCTGGGCCTTTGGCTGCATCCTGTGGACCCCAGCACAGAGGACCCTTGTGCACCCTTCCACGCTGGACTCTGCGGCTGGCCACTGCAAGGCAGTCTTGTAAATTCATATATATTTGTATATTTTGCATCAAATCTGCTTTGCTAGCGAACACTGATTGATACAGGTGGGAGCTGTTCTTGAGTCTTGCTTTTCCTTTTAAGAAACCATGAGGACCCAGGCACCTGTACAGGAGGTGTAGCTGGGGGAAAAGGGTAACAGTGGGGCTGAGGAATGGCTGAGGCCAGCCTCTGCTTCCATGGTTGGCTCTTACCATCTGTCTATACCCAGTGTGCACCTAGGCACGAGGACCTCGTGAGATGTGGAGTGTTGGTCCTGTGACATAGAAGTACGCTTCCTGTCCTGTAAGTGGAGTGATACAGGGAAGGGTGCTTTGAGAGTTGGATGCTCTCTGTTGCCTAAAGTGTAGAAGAATGAAGACAAATCCTAGATAAACCCTCCAGCTCGGATGGCCCAGATGAAGGCCTACGTATTCCCCCTTCTCCCAATGGTGCTTTGCAAAATAAATCTAACCCGTTGGCCTGTCCTAAATTATCCTTGTCTTGTGTCACTTACAATAATAAGCATATTACCAGAAGCCCCCTTTGCTCTTTCTGGAGGCAGAGTACCAATAAATATAATGTAGATCAAGATGTCCCTAGAGGGGAGGACTATAGTTACTGGAAGAATTTCCAAAACAAGCTGTTAATTAATGATCAGAAGGCCTTTAAAAAGAAACAGTGGTGAGAAAAAAAAAAAAAAAAAAAAAAGAAAGAAACAGTGGTAGAATCAAGCTTACATCATGGGGAAGAAAAGGAGTGACAGAGGACTCTTGTTTATTTCCTACTCCAGAAAGAGAAGTCGGCAGGAAGTGAACAGACAATATCTCTTCTCTATACCTCGGTTTTATTATTTCTTGACCCTCTGCCTGCCCTGCCAGACACTAGTTGTCCTAGACTGAGGACGAAACTACGCCAGTTTCAGAAAATATAGGGAAGCCACCCTATGGGTGCTCTCCATAGCAGAGCTTCTGGGAAAAGGTATGGGTGAGCCCAGTGTTTCTGCAGCCCTTTGTGCATGTAGGTTGTCGCTGTCCCAGCTCTCATTACAACAGCATGCCACTCCCTCACCTGGCTGGAAGTGGATGCTGCTTAGCGTGGGAGGCGGGACACGGGCTCCCACCTGCTGAACGAGCACGCCCTGTGCACCAGGACTCGGCTGCTCAGTGCCCAGCCCAGACACACGAAACACCTGGTTTCTGGAAAGGTTATCGTCCCAGCGTGCGGTATGGTCACAGCTGCGCACAGCTCTGAGTGACCATAAATCGTGGGGATTTGCAGCAGGTGCCACCAGCAGCGTGTCGAGTTCTCCAGCCCCTCTTAGTATGAGGCCATTTCTCTCGGCCTTTGCTAATTCCCCTGCACAGGATTTGCGCTTAGTTCAGACAGATCTGAGCTGAATTCGTGAGGAGGAGTTTTCACGTCAAGACTCATTCCCCTCAGCATGCCACCGTGTGAAGCATTGTCATTGTCAGCTGAGCTCCCCTCGTGAGTGGACAGGGCCAACAGCCCTAGGAGCAGCAGCTGAGTTTTCCGTGGTGTTGAGCTTTTGTCCTGAAAGGGAGGAGACCATGGTGAGGAGACTGGAGCAGAAGAGCTGACAATCGGGCGCACAGTTGAGGGATTTGGCGGGAAGGCGGAAGGCTGGGGTGAGGCTGGGGGCGCTTGGATCCACTGCCGCTTGCTTAGGCGGTCTCCAAGTCAGCGAGGAAAGCGCTCCAAGTCCGGCGGCCTTTGCAGAAGCCGGGAAGGCGGCAGGCAAGCTGCTGCTGGGCTTGAGTCGGGCTCTCTCCGCCGAGTCTGGTGTGTTTCTGGCCCACGTCTGCACGCAGTTCCTGCCTCAGAGCTACACCGCCGCCCTCCACAGGCTGGGAGTGAGCGACCAAGCGCTTCGGAAAAACTCGCTCGCGCGGTGAAGCCCTGCCCGGCGGCCGTAGGCGCTGGTGCATTCGTGGCCACTTTGGCCCCTGTTCTGTTGCACACTTCGCCCCTGAGGCGCCATTCATTTCTCTCC